TGGTAAATCCGATTATCCGATTAACCAAACCAATTAAACTTTGGTTTGCTTAATTTGGTTTTCGTGTTAATTTGGATGGTTTGTTTAAGACATTTTATTCCATGGTTAATAAAATTTAGGCTTAATTGGTTTGGTTATTACCACGGTAACCATTTGAACACCCCTAGTGCTAACCCGAACAATTTCCTGCCCATCGACATGCTATCTAGACTGCACCTAATTAGTTTCCTAGTTTAATTAACCCTTTAACCATGCCAACCAACGTAGGCATAGATAATTTATTCTATGCAAGATTCCGATTTTGGGTAAAGATTAGGCCAAATGATGTTAATAATGACGATTTCTTTTCATAAAACAAGATCAACATCATGATGATAATTAAGACCAATATCGAGACACTAAAGAAATGAGTGGATGGCATCAGCATATCTTTTTCTCAGTAATTTTGAATGGCAAGTTGGCAACGAAAGATGACTTTGTAGAAGCAAGTCTAAGAGCTTTATGATTATTCCAATGGTGAAACCCACTTTCATGACTCACTTTCTATTATGATCGCCAAATCCACGACACAATATTTTTTGCACTAGTAACTATGATTCCCCCACCCATTCATATCAAAGGAGGAGGAGGAGTGAAGTGGGGCTCTCCACAAGAGTTGACCAAGCTCTTATTTTGTTACTATATGTTATTCCTTCCTTTAGCAATGGAGTTTGTCAACGAAGAGCACAAAAGGGTTGTTAATGTTCCATTTGTTTGTGATTGAATCACATATCATATCAATTCTCAGGTGCTATAATCATCGCAGTCTCACTTAAAATTATAGTCACAATCAATCATTAAACATTTCGGGCTAAGCGTACTCTCTATTTAAATTGGTCATACATCTTCGATCGTGATATCAATGTTCTTCTTTAGTTTTCTTTTTAGCTAGTTTGATTACTCGATTACCCTTGCAGGTCCGGGGTGGGTTTCTACTTTCTTGGTACCCAGACTCGCCCCGTGGCAGGTCGGGTTCAAGTCGGGTAATTTATCACTGGTCACGGGTCGGAGTAGATTGACCCATTGGGTATGCAATTTATATGAAAAATATTTGTTATTTGTATTATAAGACCAAGGAAACAAACAATATTATGAGAAATATAGTTAAATTATTGGAGAAATTGAGGTTTTCATGAATTTACAACTTTATTATAGCTAAAATTTGATGTGATAAAAGGAAAATCCTAAGTAATTTGACTAAAATTACATGTAATTTAGGCAAGGAATGGGTCGAGAATGGGGCGGGTCAGGGCAGGTCGGATCGATGAGAGTACCCATGCCCGCCCCGCCCCGCACCAAAACAGGTCAAATAGGTCAAGTAAAATGGGTCAGGTCAAAATTGGCATCCCTAATCATATCGTTACAGTCTTTTGTCCCAATAATAACATGAAAAGATGAACAAGTTAGCTTTTAGATGCAAACTTGAACATATTATCCCAATATGGTTTGTATGCAACAATAACACACGCTATTGGTCACATATAGAGGAGCCTAACGCCCTTACCCATGTCCAGCTTGTTGGTGCATGTCTTACAATTAGAGCGCAAATGAGCCACGTCGAATTGAGTTTGGTCTAATTAGACTTGACTTGTTCGTTGAAATCTCGACTTGTGTTTGACTCATCAACGAGTTCACAAAGTTTACTCGAACTCAACTCATCTATCAACTTGCGAGCATGTCTTGAGCTTATATATAAGTTTATTTAGTTCATAAATTTTAACGGTTATTATCTAGTTATTTAATAGTAATAGTATCTAAAGAATTTATCATACATAATTTTTCTTTTAAATTATAAATGAGACATATTTTCTTATGTACTCAAAGTCGTAAACATCATATGTGTTGAGATAATCTAACAAACTTATAAGTTATCAACAAGCCAACTCATAAGCTATAGATGGATTCGCTCATAAGCTGCTAGTCAAGTATGTTTGCTAATCATAGCAGTGCGAGTCAACTTATTTTCAAAACGAGATAGCTTATGACTTGAACTTAACAAGATACCAAATAAAACTGGCTTGGAAGCCTTATAAACTGAACAAGGTACAACTCAAATTCGCCTCGTTTATTAACGAGTCGGATGTCAAACGAATTTCTCCCAAATCAAATCTAGAACCGGCCGTGAACAGTTTCGCTCATTTGCATCACTGCTTGCAATCAGGCTCCGAATCAAATGCAGCTTCCCATAACCATCCAAATCAAATCATAAGCAGCTTGTCCTCGAAGCCATAAAAGAGTTGGGAACTGCCGATTTTCTTATTAACTTGTAACGAACGAAATTGGAAATCTGTGAGTCCTCACCACTTTTCCATTAACTAAAAATGTAATATGCTATAAATGATCTAATTGTGTTCATATTTCAAGTTCACACTTTCCTCAACCTTAAAAGTGCAGAATCAATACCCTTTTATCTTTCTCCTCCCCTGAAAAGTTTGTCTTAGAAATTTCTGGACAAGGAAATTAGAAGAAACAGTGCCAAAGAGTTGTATAAACAAATATTTTTAATATTGCTAACCAAAAAACATCAATAAACCACGTGAATCTGTATGTTCATGTCCTATATAGTTTTATTAATTGTAAACCTCGTCCCGAATTCCCGATTAGTTACCAGAAAATATTCGTGCATGTTATAGCAAAATATTTTACATGTATAGTGTACGTATATGGGGTTTAGCGGAAGAGTGCAAATAAAGGAGAATATTGCTGATAATTTTTTTTGGGTATACTCTGATTATTCAATTTATCTCAGAAGTCAAATTATTTATTTCCAATAATATTTTTTTTATATATTCTGCTTTTATTTTTTTGAAAAACAAAATTAAGTGGGAGATCTAGCTGTCGTCAGCCTGCGGACGTAGCAATGGGTGCCGTAACTCCCGTTGTCCACTGAAACATTTTACGGTATCATCGCTGGAATCCATCATTTCACAACACATATATATACACCATTTTCCTTCCCAGTATACAGCAGTGAGTTTTGGAGGATGATTAGGGTTTGTTTGGTATCAAAACAATTTGGCCGTTTCTTATTTTATAAAACGAGTCATTAAAGTAAGTTCTTCGGTACGGTTTTATGGACGGTAACATATAACACTACCATTGCAGTTTATGTCTTTCATGTAGTTAAGCATTTGAGTGTTCAATGATATGTCTGCTTGCATGTTAATTATTTCTTTTCCTCGGTAGGATTAGCACAAAATTGGCTGTAATTAATTGATCACTGGCATGCATGATGCACACATCTGTGAATAGATGACAGAAGAAAGACAATTCTTTTAGGGATTAAAATGAAAGAAAGAGAGAGAGAAGATAATGATCAAGTGACAACGTTTGTCAAGAGTTGACAGGAAAGTGTTTACAAAAGAATGAACAAAGAAAGGGATAATCATTGAAGCTGTTTCCCCCTCATGGATTTAGGACTAGACATCTTGCCCAATTCCTCGTTTAGGTGTTCATCACTTTATGTGAAGGAAAAATCCCCCATCCCAGACTTATTATGGACTCTTGGATTCAAAGGTTTTAATTAGACAAACCATATGGTGACACATTGGATCTAGTGTCGAGACTCAATGGAGATAAGAATTAAATTTATGGTAATGACTGGTATATCATACTCTATGTGATATGATCGCTAGATTTTCTTTTTTGAACTCCTGATTTGAGTTTAAATTGGGTCTAGGGTTTATCCATTAGAGATTAGGGTATAGTATCATATTCCAAATTCTATTTAATTCATTATTTAGATAGAGATATTTCGCGAAAAGTACATGGAGTATAGTATACTTCAGGATAACAACAGTCTAACCCATAAATTTATAATATCTGAATTGAAAATAACTTACTTTATCATTCCAACAGTTATTTGTTGGCAACCAGTTTATAAGTTTTGTACAATTTGTTTGCTATAATTTATTTTGAGTATTAATATGGTCAAAATATTATAGTTTTAGCAGTTAAAGTCTTGGATTCATCTGAGAGATGTCACAAACTCACAGGTCCAAATTCACTTTTTTTTACATACTGTTTGGTATAAATGAATTACCTAAGTTTTGAGGAATTAATTTTGAAATGAAACTTTTTTGTGTTTGGATTATAAGGGAATTCATTTTCAATTCTAAATTTTGAATATTGCGAAATTGAGACTAGTTTTAGCAATTCCGAGGAATCGAGGTGGAATTTCCAAATGAATTTCACAATTATTTTATTAATTATGATAAAATGACACAATTGTCTTTGATTCTTAAGTAAATTACCCCATATATATATGATTTGGCGTCAATACTTCATATTTGCGCGCCTAACCTTCCTTGGTCAGTCACTACGTAACGTAATATATAATAATGATGAGAACATTCTCTTTGACACTTATGTTTTTAGAAGATAGATTTTCAATGAGTGTAACAATGTTGTATCTACTAGAAATCAATAAGAGTATATTTAAAACCATTAAATTTAATTCAGTTCCGAACGTATCCCAAACACAATTTGGGAATTCAATTCAGTTTACTCATAAAAATTTGAATATAAAATTTCAAACAAAAGATTCATGTGACAATAAATTCTACACATGAATTTATTTTAAATTGAAAAATAAATTCTCAATTCACTTAATACAAAATCATTTCACCTTGTCAATATTTGTCAAATGAGAATCCAAAAGGTGCCACAAAGCTTGAATTCAGTATCCGTAAGTGAAAAGAAAGGAGAAAATAATTAGAAAATGATTTGAAAAGGAGGATAAAAGATTAAAAGTCCAACAAAAGAAAGGATAAAAGGTTTTGATTTTTTAATCTTTTAGTGTTTATTTATTATCGAATTTTGTTCTTAATTTCTGTGTTGATTATAAATGCCATGTTCCATGTAAAGATACAAGTATGAACAAAAGATTAAAATAAGGCAAGAAATAAAAACTATCAAAATTCAAAAGCCTGTAAGCTTTTCGAATGACTGTACTGTTCCACCTCCAAAATCTGCACACCTAGCTGTTTCCCCAACCCCACTCTCCCAACCGCACCCGCTCCTTCTGTCCCTCCTCGAAATCGAAATATTAATAAAGTTTCCATTTTTATCAGCTCCCAGAGAGAAAGCTCCTCCCTTGCTCGCTCGCTCGCTGCCGCTGCTGCTGCTGAAGCATTTCCCAGCTTCCATATTTTAGTACGTGAAATGGGTGTTGCCTATCAGCCGTTAATTAACATATAGAAGAAATTAGATGGGTTCTATGCTATTCTATGTCTTTCTTTTTAGGTTGTTTTCCATGGAGTAGTGATGGAGCAATCTTTATTCTCTCTGGTTGTTCTGGTTTTCCCTTTGATGTGCTTTAGAGCTACCCACTGTCCCTATAACAGAATAGATGCGCTTCCTTGTCTTTGCATTGCTAGCTAAGAGTTAGCTTTGTTTGTTTTTTCTATGATTGTTCTTTTTCCCCTGCATTGATATTCTTTGATCTCCATTGATGATTCTTTGCTCGAAAGGGTAGCTGCTTTTTACTTTGGGGCTTCCATTTTCCCTAGTCACTTTCTGAAGTCTCTCGAGTTCCTTTCTTGGGTGCCCTTTCACTTTCTTAGAAATTTTTTATTGGTTTTCTCAAAGAGGTTTCAGACAGTGTGTAATTGGAAAGACGTGTGTGTTGATGTAGATTGATAGGATCTATTAACTTTCTTTATCGCCTCTCTTTCCCACGGTTATAAATACTGGGTTTGCAATGTTGATTTTTCTCATTGCAGGAGTTCAGCAGCATAAGCAAACATTCACCAAAACTGTTGCTCATTCTAGTTAGAGTACAATGAACTACAATACCTCTGGCATTGGTTCTGGTCAGTTTCTGTTGCTGCCCCTTTACTTGGTTTGGGCTTTTTGATCATTGCTATGTTGGAAACCCTACTCAATTGATGTCTTGTGTTTCAGGCAGTAGAACTTCTTCAAGAACATTTGAGTTTGGAAGGACCTATGTTGTTAGGCCCAAGGGAAAGCACCAGGCCACAATAGTTTGGCTGCATGGCTTGGGTGACAAGGGATCAAGGTAGCTACTTTATGTTACCTACATAATGCTGATGCTGGTTGTCTTTTCTTGCTTCTGTTTGAAAACCCTTGCTCTCATGGAGCTTGGTCTAGTAAGCTTTCGATAGAAAAGTTGTTCAGTTTCCTGGCATATAATCTGTCTGATCTTGCCTTATGGTGTTTGTTGTAAAGTATGGAACAATAATCATGAAAGGCAGAATTCTTCCATTTCCTTATGAGAATGGCAGAATTCTCTACCAGTCGTACCAAGGATGGCCATGTTTTGTCCTGAGCTAGTGGTGGAAGTTGATGTCTTATTAACTTGTCCTTTTCTGAAAGATTCTTCCCCATGATTGGCATATAGGCTAAAGTAAACACAATTGTCATGTTATTGTATTAAGCGTGGCTGGCTTGTTTTCTAATTCTAACTTCTTCTACATGGTACGTAACCTTCTCTTCACGAATCCATGTTTAGATATGCCAACACGGGACCACTCCTTCACTAACTTGATGCTACTTACAGAAGTAACAAACATATTGTTTTCTCAGTTGTAATCATAGTGATCAAGTATTTTAAGTGTATCTAGGGTATATATCTAGGAGAGTGAAGACAAAAAAGATGTTCTACACCACTACTGGTAGGGCTTGGACCTCAGGTTTCAGAGTGGTCCCCCATGAATGGGAATTTACTTCTTAAGTTATAATCAAATCGTCTTCAAACTGTCCTAATGATGCCTGACTCTCTAGGCCCTGACTAACCTGATCTCACGTTTTCTTCTGCTTTGTTTTGCAGTTGGGCGCAACTCCTGGAGACCCTTCCTCTTACAAATGTATGAGTACTGTTCTTATATTTTGTTATATTGCTAATTTGATGTCTTTAATTTGGGTCAATGGGTGCCCTTATAGTGGGAAAGACGCTGTTACTCAACATTTACCTTTGTCATTGACATGGCAGATTAAATGGATTTGCCCGACTGCTCCGTCCAGGCCAGTTGCTTTGTTCGGTGGATTTCCATGCACTGCTTGTAAGAATTGGATTCACAGTTCCATTTTCTGTTATGTATAAGAACTAGTATCAACTTATGGATTGTCAAGAAGAGAGCCTAATTTCAAGCTAAAACAAAGAAAGAAACCCAACTCCATGTTCCAGAATTAAATAGCTAGCTTGTTTATTTGACTATTTGTTGTCATGTTTCTTTCCTAGTTGTAGGGTGAGTTGTTATCTCTGCTAGTAAGTGTATGCTATCAAACTTGTATAGAAAATGTTGATAGTGAAGCACTGTAACCATGCTCTCAAGTTGAGCCTTTTGATGAAATACAAGATTGCTTTTCATCAAAATAGAAACCCAACTCCATGTTTTTCTTTTCTTTGTATGACTTTTAACTATTGGCTCAATAGTAGATAAAATCTGAATGACTTGCTGAACATATTGCAGGGTTTGATGTTGGAGAAATCTCTGAAGAAGGTCCTGATGACCTGGAGGGACTGGATGCTTCAGCAGCACATGTAGCCAACCTTTTATCTACAGAGCCTGCTGATAGTAAGCGGCTTATCAATTTCCTAATATTGCTGTCTACATTTTGTATATTTTCTTATTCAAATATTGATGTCATCTGTATGTGTATATAACAATTTTGTTCCCTGGTGAACATGACATTTCTTTCCATTATAGCATATTAAGTGAGAATTCATCAACATGATACTGGTAGATGCGTTTGCTGCTCTTCCTATTCATTTTCTTCTGCGGGAGATTGCAGAAATTTCCTAATTTACTTTTAGTCTAACACATTCCCTTAGTGACTTCCTATGAGTTTGGTTTGTCTCATCGATCATTATTCTAGCTTAATCAAAACTTCGGATACTTTGTTTCAGAATTATTTGCTGTTAGATTTTCTGGAGGCTACCTACTTTCAATTGATATCACATCTTCCATTTGAATTGAGCATTAACTCTTGATATTGATTGGATCAATACCGTTACTGATTATCTCTAGTTAAAGATATAGCAGTTTCTATAAATGTTGCATGGCAACTGAACTTCTTCACTTGGTTGCTGGATTTTGTAGTCCAAGTTGGTGTTGGTGGCTTCAGCATGGGTGCTGCAACTGCCCTTTACTCTGCTACTTGCCGCACATTAGGACAGTATGGGAACGGGAACCCATACCAGGTCAATCTAAGTGCAGTAGTTGGTCTAAGTGGCTGGCTTCCTTGTTCGAGGTTTGGCTTCTGGAATTTCTAATGCAAACAACCTTAAGAGTGCCCTTCAGTGTATCCATCTTTGGCATGCGAACATAGAGAAAATTTATTCAGACAAACAGTCATTCTTTTTCAGGACCTTGAGAAGTAGGATGGAAAGATCATATGATGCAGTGAGGCGGGCTGCATCTTTGCCCATTTTGCTTTGCCATGGCTCAGGTATGTCATTTTATCTATCAGCTTTAATCTTGCTTGGATGTTTATCACTCTTCTGGGGACAACGAATCTACCAAATTCAACTTAGTATCTGTTTCTTGGTGTACCTAGACCAAAATGCATTATCTGAATGAGAACATTTACATTCCTTCACTTCCACATACTAATTACTCATTGCTTTGCTCGCCTCAGCTGATGATGTGGTTGCACACAACCACGGAGAGAAATCAGCACAGGCCTTAAACTCAGTCGGGTTCCGGAATCTCGTGTTCAGAACATACAATGGGTAACCAATATCCTCCCATCTCCCTAAATATTTCTCATGCCATATATCATGCACAAGCAATCTTATAAAACCGGGGAAAAACATTTGAACAGAATGGGTCACTATACCATCCCGGAAGAGACGAGGGAAGTCTGCACTTGGCTCACCACAAAATTGGGGCTGGAGGGTTCTTAAGAACAGTAATGCTACTGAGGATGGTGATAATCTTTGCTGGGAGAGAAGTATATGGGGGAACCTAGAGAGAGAGAGAGAGGGGGTTAGGAAAAAGAAGGGGGGTTTCTAGGACTAGATGGTTTGGTGTGGAGGGATAGGAGTATCAAGGTATAGCTTATGATAAATGGGGGGTTCAATTGGTTGATTCATGTGAGTTCTCCAAAATAAAAATGTGTTCTTGTTTTGCTTTTCTTCACTACTTTATATTTTGGGGTTTAACCTTTTGTATTTTCCATAACTATTTTGTGGGTTTGAGTTTTGAGGGTAATGGGTTTTACTGCTGGTGTTCTAAATGGGGATCCTAAGGATAGGTTACTTGAGGTGGGGGATACTTTGAAGTTTTGGGAGGGGGGTTTACTGGTTAGAGAGAGGGAAGTGTTAAATGATCTAGTTGATGATGTATCTTTCATTTTTGTTGTTGTATCTCCATAAACTATGTAACTTCCAGACCATATAAAATAAATGCAATCTCTCAGTGTGGTACCTCAATGTGTGTTGATGAATCTTGGTAAGTATGAATTATCCGAGCATCATGTGGATTGTTAGACCCTAACCGCTCCAATATAGCTTGTGCATCTCCAGTAATTTGAACAGGATGAGCACACCATCCCCAACGGGAAAGGAGGAGTAAAGCATAACGGACCGCCAATAATTCCACAGTAGTAGCATCAATTATCCCTAGGAGAGCGCACCCAAATCCAAAAGCAGCTTGATCGCCAACAAAGCCAACAATACCAACTGCCCCATGAGTGGGAGATGATGTCGTGCCGTCCACAGCAATCCGAAATCCGGAACTCAATTGGGGATCACGGAGTCGTCGAGGTGGTGGTGCCTGGGCCAGAATTAGAGGTTGGACGACAATTTGATGATCGGCCTGGTGTGACAGTAATTGACGATGAAGGTAGGCGATAGTAAACTGGGCGTGGGGGAGGAAGACAACATTGTTGCGACTTTTCCAATATCGCCAAAATAAGAGTACCCAAGAAGTAATAGAGTGGATATCCGCGGTGAATATGAGATGCCGCCAAAACAACAAGAGGTGGGTGGTGGGAAGAAGACCAGGAGGCAAATGGAGCCCTACCAAATTACGCAAAGCAACTGCCACCGGACATCGAAGAAATAAATGCTCGACTGATTCACCTTCTGTGGACTCACAAATTGGGCACAAGTCACCAACTTGCAGAACATGGCGATTTAGGTTTTTCTGGTCAGGCAGAATCCGCAAAATAATACGCCACAGAAAAAATCTGAGCTTAGGGGAAAGTGGCAGTCCCCATAATTTCGGCCACAGTTTTGTATCCACCGGAGAGGCCGATGAGACTTTTGCTGTTTTTGGAGGCGGTTTTGCAGCCATTGCCAGTTGGGAAGCAGATTTGACGGAGAACAGGCCATCGGATTGATAATGCCAAATGTATAGGTCCAAACCGAGGTCGGCGGAAGCGGAATGTTTAAGATTGCGGAAATCAAGTCATTCGTAAAGAATTGGCCCAAACGTGGAATATTCCAGGTCCTCGAAAGAGGAGACATAAAATAAGAGACAAACCGAGAGGAATCGGATGGCGATGATATCAAACATGGTTTGAATAACGACAAAGAGGGAACCCACGGATCTGTCATCGCATCAATGAAGGTGCCAGAACTAACTTCCCACTGCAAGCCTTTTACAAGCAAATTTTATGGTCGACTGTTTGATCTCGTAGAAGTCTTTCTATTTTTTTTGGAGTTCACTTTGTTTCTGAGTATAATCCTGAAGTTTGGTATTAGATGATGTATGACATTTTTGCGACTTCTATACTCCATCGTATTACTACCATGAGGTAGTGGTGCTCGCACCCGATATATATATATAAGAAAAAAGTCAGCTACTTAGGGCATTGGGTTCCGTCTGTCTAGCAGTCAGCATAATGGGCTTCAATTTGTCCAAGCCAAGTCAAGACTTCTGCTAAATTAGGCCCAAACCAGAAATTTATGGGCCTTAGCCTACCGATGCAGCCCACCACAGATAATGCTATCGAATGTTGTTACCGAATTTCAATTTCTTGCTGAAGGATTCATCAACTAATACATAAAAACACTAAACGAAGAACTTCATAATAACACTGCTTACATATAATAACATCGGAACAATACTAATAAGCTATAAGCACATAAAGGTGGCTGGTTGCCGCCGGCGATTGTAGATGTTAGATCTAGCAGCAGACCTCAGATGTCGTTCCTTCCAACCATCAGACCTAAGATGGTACTCACATTAGACACATTCCTTGTTCTGGCGTATAAACAGACCAGTTTCGCCGTGCCGCAAGGTTTCGAACCACGATGCAATGCTCAAGTGATATGGACTCTTGTCACGCCGCATTCAATGTACTATTTACCTTGCTGTTGGCTGTTACTCTTCCTTGTTGGTGGTAACTTGGTTGCCTTGGAGTCCAAGCAAGGTGTGAGTGGTGGGAAAGAAGGGACTGCCTTCAGTATGAACTTCCTCCCACTTTTCAACCCTCCCGACACTATCGACCCGAGCTCCAGACGTTTGGAATGTGCATGAGGTGGAGAAATCCGCTTCTTGTTTGGAGACGTTGCTTTCACTGATTGAATTGGGTTACAGGCTTCCTTCAATATCTCAGGTGTGGTGTCTTCTTCTTCCATGAGCACATCCTCAATCATCTTTCCAGCGCCTAAGGATGGCATTGGAGTGACCGGCAAGCCATGCCAACGGATGGAAGAGGACATATGGGTACCACCACTACCAACTTCAAACTGTGGACGTGGAACATTAGTTGACAGGTCCTTGGTCTTAGATGCAGATGGAGAAGCTGCCACGGCTGAGGATGATGCAGTTCGTTGTGGAGAGAGGTAACATATACCACTGATTGGATCCAACTTTGGAGATAATTCGCCTATCATTTCGGCAATGGTAAACTCCATATCCCGGCAGTCAATCTCTGCAAGTAAGCTGTCACCAGTTTGGGTTGGGGAACTGGTTTTTGAATCTGATTGAATTGTAGACATGTGGGAGAGAGGCGATGGGAGGTATCGGGTACTAAATGGCCCGGACTTTGGGGCATCGTTTCCATGCCTAGAGAGGTAAAAGTATACACAATGAGCAAATCATGTAAATTCCAGGTGAAACTAATTCATTCTAAGAAAATTAGGTGAGATAAAGAGTACTTACTCAGAGAACTGGCACTGTGGTGTAAATGGTGCAGGGCTTTCTAACTCGGACGAATCTGCATGAAAGAGATCATTACTATGATCCACCCCTGCTAATTTCTCATCAGCTATGTCGTTTGGCCCATCCTTGCTGGTTGTGCTGCTCATAATCTCTTCAACTATAGTGTAATCTGGGGAAGAGAGCCAAAACAATAAATGGAATGTTCACTTTTCAGATGTATTTCCGATCCAACCAAGGACATTTTATGGGAATTAGTTGGAGTTCTAATATATTAACTACTCGAAAGCGCTAAACTTAGGATGAATAAGGTAAGGATGCCGGAAAACACCATCTGAATTGGGGTTTACCAGAATGAGAAACATTAGTAAAGAGAGATGAGAACTTTAATGTGATCTTACCTTCTCTCCTACCAAAGACATTCTTGCAACCTTCACATCGGCAACCACTGGAGCAGCCAACATTTGACTTTTGAACATAAAGCATAAACAGAAGTCCCAGATCAGTAAACCTGTAGCAAGAAGATGTTGCGCCTAGAAATGGTGGGTTGAGTCAGGAGGCACGGTTGAAGGTTGTATACCTGATAGCATTCACAATACTTTTTCAGACACATTGACCTTTTGCAATTGCACCCTCTTTTATGCCTTGCAGACGCTGGTGTTGTCCTGTTTACCTCTTCCTGAAAAATGTGAATTATGATCATGAAATCTCTCAAGTGAATTAAAATATGAACAGACTTAATCTGCATTTCATTACCCCGATTACTGCAGGAACTCCTGATGCCTGATGCACAATCTTTGGAGCAAAAGCGAGAGGGTTACGGGATTCTATCAGTTGGCGTGTTTCAAGAACTTTATCTTCGTGTTCAGGCCTATTGAAGCATCCTTGGCAACTGCAAGAATCCGCACAATAGATCCCAGCGGCAAAACAATCACAATACCTGGCCAGAAAAAAGGAGAGAAAAAAGACAGCTTCAAGTAGTGTGGTGAAAATATGCACAAGTGGCTAACACCAAGAGAAGATTTGATCACACTCACAATTTCAAGCATTTAGTCTTTTTACAATTGCAACGTTTGCAACCATCGCCATCAGGGGTAAACTTCTTCCTAAAATGTTCACACAGTTTCAAGCATTTAGTCTTTGCCAGTGTATAACAGGTAAAACAAGCAAAATGTCTGTAATATAACACATACCTTCTCTTCTTAGGGCTTGATTGGTTTAACTCGTTATAATTTTCACATTGCTCTAAGCTCAATGTCCTCTTTTTTGGCGGGGTTTCATTGGGCTCTAATGACTGCAATGCACTCACTGATTTCATGGTGAGCAAAGAATCTGAGGTGGCACTAACAACAGCAGGCACAACCTGGTTTTCAAGCATTTTTTCTTCCGCATGAGTAATTTTCTCAACTGAATTTGATAGTTGTGTAGAACATTTCTCATTCTCCGATAAATGAGTTTTCATGCTTTCGTTAACATTACACTCCATTGGTAAGGCCTTAACAATGCTATTCAGATGTAATCCAATACCAGATCGCTTGGGAATAGACAATCTAGCATTTGAATTGTGGTTAGGAGAACGGTTGGAGATTAACCCCCGGGTCAAGTTGATCATTGTCCTCTTTCCAGAAGGAGCAGCAATGCCTGGATTCAGAATTTTTGAATTTTCCATACCCGCACTGGAAAAGGGTAATCTTAAGCCCATCGGATCGCTGGATGAATTCGGAGAATTCATGGCTGGCACACTACCTTGTCCAATCCCTTGAGCTTCTTCAAATTGCAGACAGCGCCTACTCATGCCACGATACAATTGACTGACCTGCAATAATAATAGGATTATTTTACTGTTATAAGCCAAAGGAAAACAAGGATAGGCAATATTTTTCCTCAGAAGTGAATGTTTACAATCAACAAAAGAGCATACGGGTACTATTGATTTGATAGGGACCCAAGTCCATCATGCTCGTAACACTTAAACGTCCAGAAGGAAAGCACATTAATTAAGAGAAAAACAAGCAGCAATGCCTGAAGGAATATTGAGATGATATGTTTTGGCAATATCTCATAAACTATTTATCAATAAAATGCCCATTCTTGTCCCAAAAAGCCCAAGTTAAGAACAAAGACAGATAACAGTTCTGAGTCACTAAGTTGGGACTTTTGAGGCACATACTTACCATGGCCGGAGACAAGAACAAAGACAATAACATAAGGCCACAGGACATGGCAGGAAGTAACAAACTAATGATGACAAAGTTACAGATAACAAAAAGACTGAGAGCAACAGGGAGTGAGAGATGATTTTGATAAGTTACCCCAGGATCATCCAAGC